GATTCCAAAGTGTTCCTCCCCACTTCCAGGCCTTCCCCAAAAGTAGCTTAGGGAACTATAGGGCACCACCATTCAACCATTCCCCAGCTACTTTTTTTTAAAAGGTTTAAATTTTTTGTTAGAGGGAACTGACCTTGTGATCCGCCCACCTCGGCCTCCCAAAGTGCTGGGACTACAGGCGTGAGCCACCGTGCCCGGCCCAAATTTACCTTCTTAGTAGTTTTTGCTATAGGATGTTACTAAACATAATTTTCTTCACCTAATTCTGAATGTAATTTTCTTCATCAAGTGCTACCCAAATGTAGTAAAGCAGCATTACCTGTACTGGCCAGGGAAACCAATTCTGGGATTAAGAATACCATGAATGTGCTATTTATGACCTGAATGAGTCATCACTCTAAGTTTATCCAAAGGGAAATGAGCGAGCAAGAACAAGGTCGGACCGCTATGAAGACATCTGTCTGCTGTCCTGCTGGTCCTTGACTGGTCACCACCCCCGGGTATTTGGAGCCACCTCGCTCTGTTCGCTTTTAGTGTGATTAGAATACACTGGTGAAATCTTGGAGGAATTGAGAGATGGTGATTATATTCTCACCCTTCTTGCTTGCTAGTTTGCCTCTAGTAGATCAGAGATAATAATAAATACTGACTATATTTCAGGTAAGATCAGAAAGAGGCAATCTGCCAGAGGTAAATTTTAGAAATTCAAGCTGTGTGGTTGGAAGACCACTTTAAAAGAAGCGCTCCAGTGAGACACAGTGCCGTTTTCCTTTGAACTGTGAACTGAGAATGTATTAATGGTAGAGCCCCCACCCCAACTAACGGAATGAAGCAAAACAGACTGTAAATGTAATTTTTAATTACCTTTAGGTAACAATATGTCAGAAGAGCAATGGCCGTCTCCACCATCCACAGTGGGTCTGAGTAGAGATGTGGCCTCCCACTGAAGCTGGGGTACTTTCAAACAATCAGGCTGCTTGACATCCCCTGGGACATTACATCTACACGAATGTCCACTTAAATGTAGAGGCCAAGGAAATTGTTATTAATTTTTTAAATAAATAAGCTGAAATATTGGACTGAAGGTTTGTTTTGTTTTGTTTTTTGAGACAGTCTCGCCCTGTCGCCCAGGGGGAGTGCAGTGGCGCAATCTCAGCTCACTGCAGACTCGGTTCCGGGTTACGCCATTTTCCTGCCTCAGCTCCGAGTGGCTGGGATACAGGCATTTGCCACCCAGGGTAATTTTTGTATTTTTGAGTAGAGACGGGGTTTCACCATGTTTAGCCAGGATGGTCTCGATCTTTCTGGACCTCATGATCCACCTTGGCCTCCCAAAAGCTGGGATTACAGGCATGAGCCACTGCGCCCAGCCAGCTGGAGGTTTTTTTAACATACATTTACATACTGATTTAGGTAGACCCAGTCAACAGATCTAAGCATTTATCCAGGATCATGTGCTATAGATTTTGAAGAAATTACTGAGCCGCAAGAGAGAATTTTTTTTTTTTTTTTTTTTTGATACAGGGTCCTCAACACAGTCCATCTAAGCTGGAGTGCAGTGGCACAATCTTGGCTCACTGCAGCCTCCTCTTCCACCTCCTGGGATCAAATGATTCTCCTGCCTCAGCCAGCTGAGTAGCTGGAATTACAGGCATGTGCCACCACTCATGGCTAATTTTTGTATTTTTAGTAGAGATGGGATTTCATCATGTTGGCCAGGCTGGTCTTGAACTCCTGAGCTCAAGTGATCTGACCGCTTAGGCCTCCCAAAGTGCTGGGATTACAGGCGTGAGCCACGTGTCCGGCCTTTGTTTTCATTCAAAAATTACTTTCCGGTATTCCATATTAAACATCAAGACTTGATTAAGTTGCAGTCTCTTTTATGACTCAAATTGATCATGAAAATATGTCTCATTATATTGTAGAACACTCTGATGTAACTGTTCTCCTTTCCTGGTGGTGGGGAGCTTTTGTGATAGAGTTCTGCCAGAATTCATTTATCAGTGAGAAACATTTTGTAAGCCGTGTGAGCATTTATGTGTTTTATGTGGGAGCTTTGTTGTTGCTGTATACATGCTCCAGCTAGACGAAGGAATTTTTCACTTCGACTTTATCAAGATTCACATAGCTATCTGCGTTTTAGACACATAATTTAACCTTTCATCTCCTTGGCATTTTCCATTTATCCCAGACACCTCATGACCAAAAGAGCTGGTAAAAATTTGATGTGAGAAGAGGGGCTTTTGTGGATTTTTAAAAAATGAGTATTCTTTAATACATGCCTTAAGTGTTACGGGAAAATTCTTTTCATGAAAAGGAGGTATTTCCCTCCGTTATCTAGCATTTATTTCATTAGAAAGAAAATCCTTATGTACAACTTCAGGTGTCTCAGAAGATTCCTTTAATATATATTTTAATATTCTATAATGTATGTTTAATATATAATGTATATTATATATGTCATATATTAATACATATATTTAATATAGATATTAAGGGAATCTTGTATATACTCTAACATATATATTCTGAAAACAGAAGTCAGACGCTACACTTTTTCCCTCTATGGACCCCAAGCAGACCTGTTTTTTTAGGCATGCAAGAGTTTTTAGACAACTTCAACAGGTTACTTAGTCTTCAGTAGGGAAAACGTTTCTAAAGTTGTGCTTTGGAGGAAAAATATTTCACATGAAAATGCTAATGAACAGCTTAAAATTTAACCTGTCTAGACTGCTTGCAGGCAGAAATGAAGAAGGGGAAAAAATCTTAGTTTTAAGTATATTGTCAGAGCTGCTGCAAGTAAACCATTTTTCTAGTGCTTGCATTGAGATTTGTTTTCTAATGTGCAAAGAGAAAAGTTTTGATACATTTATCCCAGTTTCCAGTTTATGAAAATCCTATTATAAATCACCCATATATATGTCTTCAGTTTAGAGCTAAAACAGATGTCTTCCTTTCCTTTCATTTCTCCAATGTGGTAGGCACACACATGTGCACATGCGCACACACACGGTCTGGTAGTTCACATAGGGTTGCAATTAAGCTGTTTACATTCTTTACATGTCTGTTCAGAACAGAACCTTTAAAACTTTGCAGTGGTCGAAGGTGAAGGATGAAAAGCCCTGGAGTCTAAATGAAGCATTTGAAGGACTGGTGGTGTTTTGAAAACCATTCCAACATTAAGCTTGGTAAAAGGAACCAGTATCCTGGGTTGTTTTCTGTCTCTTGTGGCTGATGAAGCAGCTAGGAGCCTTCTCTCTTATAGCTCCATGAAATTTTAATGAAAATCAAATAATTCCTTTATAGCAAGGTTTCTCAACCTGGGAGCTATTGACATTTTGGGACAGGCTTTCTCTGGGGTGGAGTGGGATGGCAGGGGCTGTCCTGCGTACCGTAGGATAGGGGTGGAGTGGGATGGCAGGGGCTGTCCTGCCTACCGTAGGATGGGGGTGGAGTGGGATGGCAGGGGCTGTCCTGCCTACCGTAGGTTGGGGGTGGAGTGGGATGGCAGGGGCTGTCCTGCGTACTGTAGGATGGGGGTGGAGTGGGATGGCAGGGGCTGTCCTGTGTACCATAGGATGGGGGTGGAGTGGGATGGCAGGGGCTGTCCTATGTACTGTAGGATGTTTAGCAGCATCCCTGGGACTCTACTACCAGATGCCAGTAGTTTCCCTCCACTTGTGACAACCCAGAATGCCTCCAGATGTTGTCAGATGTCTCCTGAGAGGAAAAGAGTCCCGGTTTTGAACCACTGATTTGGAAAAACCAACAAGACAATTCCAGTTTCTACTATAAGCTCCAGTTTGATTGTTTTGAACTGTTTTATTTTACTGGAACGAGTCAAAGAGTCTCAGTTTTGCCTCAGTAAAATATAGGTGGTTCCTACAGAACAATGAAAGTGCCACCTTCCTCCTTTAGTGCTGCTCATAGGCTGCTGTTGGGTAATTCTTGGAAAATAATGCTCTTCGTTTCCCACTTCTTTTCAGGTGACAATTGTAGAAAAGGCAGACAGCTCCAGTGTGCTCCCCAGTCCCTTATCCATCAGCACCCGAAACAGGATGACCTTCCTATTTGCCAACTTGAAAGATAGAGACTTTCTAGTGCAAAGGATCTCAGATTTCCTACAACAGACTACTTCCAAAATATATTCTGACAAGGAGTTTGCAGGAAGCTACAACAGTTCAGATGATGAGGTCTGTGGAAGACACCTGAAAGCATTTTTGGTTTATCCTCTTCCTGTGCCCAAGTGTGCTCACTTCCTTGCCCATTTTGTTTGATCTTCCAGCTTTGCATCCGATGCCCAGAGTGATATCTCAGCAATATCTCATTTAAATCTCAAGGACTTTGTATTTGGGGTCATAGATTTGGAAAGAACCTTACAGAGCACCTGAAATAACACTTTTATTTTATACTTGAAGAAATTCTTAAGTAATCTGTTCTAGTTACATAGCAAGTGACTTGGGTCCATATAGTGACATTGTTCAGAATGGTATAGAGGTCACTAAATAAAGTCTGAAACCTGAAGTACAAATCATTATGATGATTTTATTATGATAAAATATATATTGGGTCCCTGTGGAATTCTTCCCTGGACCAACGTTCAGGAAAACTGGAGGCCTGAAAAGACAGGCGACTAGCTGAATGGTTAGAGGAAGTTACTGGCAGATAAAACATGTTTTGAAGGTGGTAAGCTCACACATAACATCCTTGTCTCCGTTCACCTGCTCCAAGCTTATATGGGCATTTTTGAGGCACCAGAAACTCAATGGGGTGATGAGGCAGCCATAGCTGCTGATTCAACCATGACATGCTTTGCATACATGCAAATCAGATAAACAAATGGGCAAGCACTTTGTTGCGAATATACATCTAAAACATGAAGATTCAGAAACCTGTTGTGAGCATTGAAGTGCTGCAACCCGGGACCCAGCCACCTGTCTAATCCCTGCCAGAATGATGGCTGGCTGCTTTTCTCCTATTTCTTCACATAACAAGAAACATCATGGGAAAAAATGATGGAGCTTTTGATAACCATACAGAAGACACTGAAGAAGTAGGTTATATTGCCCGTGTCCTCCCAATGTCTTGTTCCTCTCTGTGTTGACAGGTGTACTCTCGACCCAGCAGCCTCGTCTCCTCCAGCCCCCAGAGAAGCACGAGCTCTGATGCTGATGGAGAGCGTCAGTTTAACCTAAATGGCAACAGCGTCCCCACAGCCACACAGACCCTGATGACCATGTATCGGCGGCGGTCTCCCGAGGAGTTCAACCCGAAATTGGTGGGTGCCTCTCACTTTTTCATGAAACTTTGTAGATTTGAACAATGCCACTAACACTATTTTTCACTATAAGTAAATTCACACATGACTGTGTAAATGGAGATTTTCCTATTAAGCCGATTTTGGTCTAAATATATTATAAGTTTCACAGTGGCTTCCTGGAAGGAGGTGAGTTACAGAGGGTACCGGTGACTTCTTTTGGTCTCGTTTGGTTTTTCACTCTTGCTTAAGTTAAACCAACAAATAAATACCTGATTTCTCAGCCCATATTAGAACATCATTAACTTACCTTCACTTGGGGGTGTAGACATAAAACCATAAATACAATCTGAGGTAAGTAGGATTCTGACTCTGGGCCCAAAAGCTTTGTGGCAGAGCTGCAGGCCATGATAGATGTGTAAAATTAGAGAACTCCAGAAAATCTGACTTCCTTTTTCTCATGAGTTCTTTCTGGAACTTGTCACTGCATTCAGCAGGGAACATGTTCTGACCTTCCATCACTCTTCTCTTACCATCCTCAGGGTACTTTGGATGTCGTAATGTTTCATTATCCCTTTCAGGCCAAAGAGTTTCTGAAAGAGCAAGCCTGGAAGATTCACTTTGCTGAGTATGGGCAAGGGATCTGCATGTACCGCACAGAGAAAACGCGGGAGCTGGTGTTGAAGGGCATCCCGGAGAGTATGCGTGGGGAGCTCTGGCTGCTGCTGTCAGGTACGGCCGCTGGGCTGGGAGTGCTGGCGTCAGAGTCTGTGGGACTCCACGCCAGGGCCTCTCTGTGCCTTCAGTCATGCCTCAGGGGTTCTTTCAAATATGCATCCCCCAGTTGAAAGCTACGTCATGTTTCCTCACCAGAGTATTGAAGTCCCTCAATTATTGTTCCCTTTATAAAATTATAGGGCCCATAGGAAGTAGACCAGATGTTGAAGCCACCATCCTTCGAGTCTTTATAAGTACTTCCGTTTCTTCAGTCAGGCTATTTAGGAATAAAGGAGAACCTGAAGTAAAAGAGCAGAATACTTTGTGACTTGGATAGTTCTTTTTTCCTTTCCCAGCTACGTCAACTTCATTGAGAATGTTTAAGTGTGACACATCCTCAGAGCAGTCATCGGGTGGGGAAGTGGGAGGAAAGAAATGAGAGGAATGAAAAGGCCCGGGTGTTTGATTTTTGCCACCTCCTGAAGTCTTTGGTCATCACTGGAACCATAAAGGTGAGGCCAGAGTCTGCACTGGAAATAAAAGCCTACTCAGATCATACCTTGTACTTCAAGCCAGAGATGCTACGCAGGACAGAAGGGGACACGTCCATGGACCAGTGGTGAAGGGGCATCCATCTTTATTGGTCCACAGAACTGGCTCTTGTAACTGTCCATCATTCTGTCACATCAGATCTTTGAGCCCTGCTACAGAAACCAGAGATCCTTCAGGCTAAGCCCACACTGCTTCCTCCCATCCGAAGCACTGAGTGTGTCTCGGGGATCTTTAGTATCTCAGACATCAGAGCACTCCTTAGTTTCACTAACTTTACTTTCACATGTAAATCAGTTGCTCTATCTAGATTGAAGCCTGAAATATAATCATTCTAAATAGGCTTATGTGAATATTTTTATTTGAACCTAAGATGGTCTGACACAAATGCTGTTATTAAAAGCTTTTATTCTTAGAAAGTGATATTAAAATTAATAATTACCAGACTCACAGGAAAGCCTTTAAAGAAACCTATAGCTCTTTGTAAAAGTAGATGTAAATGCCCATAATGAGATGTGTAAATGTCTCAGAAATAGGAACATATAATCCTGAAAAATAATTGGTTTTGTCTATTTCATGTAAAACTAGTTTGTTCTATATTTATTTAATACATGTCTTATTTTTCATTTTTCTTTCCTTCTTTCTTTTTGTAGAAATAGACATCTTGCTGTGTTGCCCAGGCTGGTCTCAAACTTGTAGGCTCAATCAATCCGCTACCTCAGCCTCCCAAAGTGCTGGGATGACAGTCATGAGCCACTGTGCCTGGCCTCATTTTCCCTAAGTAGACCAGCCATAGCTCCTCATTTAGAAACCTAAATTTGAGTCAACTCATCTCTAATTATAATTCAAACCCAAGAAGATCATTACCATCCAGTCTTCTCTTGTCTTCCCTTTGTTTGGTGAACTAGTCACCTTGACAACCAGATTCACATCACTGACAGAGTAAACAGAGTTCCATTTTCATCTTCCTTGTTCAAATTAGAAGTTATTTATAGCTGTGTTTTAAGTGAAAATGAAACTCAAGACAAGTACTGGGAAACTAGTATATACAACAATAGTACACAGCCCTATCTCAGAGATAATGTTGAGAGTTAGACCCAGCGTTTCCTTTAATGGCAGCGTTTCCTTTAATGGCAGCCCTCTTTTGGGGCGATAACTGAGCCCGTATTTCCACATCCAGGAATGGGGTTCGCCTGAGGGCCAGCCTGTCATGAAGAGAGCACAGCTCCAGGCCAGAGCCCAACTTGGGTCTCACCTGCTCCCTGTGACCCTTAGGGCGATGGCCTCATGACCTGAATTCTATACCCACTGACATGAAATGCAGGTGAGATGACAAGAAATCACAGTATCTCTCCCACAACAGCAGAGCAAAAGCTGCGTTATGTCCCTGTCAGCCGGGTTGACTTTTCCAGGGCAAGCGTGAGTGGTGAGGCCAGCTCTCTTAGTGACCGTCAGAGACAAGGCCTGGGCCAGTCCGGGAATCTTGGGACTCCAATTTTCTGAATTATGAAATGTGAGTGTATACCCTGTCAATATATATATCATTTATATATTTTTATGATATCTTTATTGAGATACAATTCACAACTTACTAGTTAAGGTGTACAATTCGGTGGCTTTTTTTTTTTTTTAGTATATTCACAGAATTGTACAATGATCACAATTATAGAACATTTGTCATCTCCCAAAAATACCCCATACCTTTTATCCATTTAGAAAATAGATATAAACTGTTTGGAAATACAGACTGGTAGTTCCATTCCCCTCAAGCCCCCTCCCAGCCCCAGGCAACCACCAGACTACTTTCTGTTGCTAGACATTTTGTATAAATGGAATCATATAATATGTAGTTTTTTGTGACTGGTTTCTTTCACATAGCATACTGTGTTCAAGGTTCCATCATGCTGTAGCATGTATCAGCATTTCATTCCTTTTTATGGCCAAATTATATCATTGTATGGATATACTACACTTTGTTCATTCGTTTTTCAGTTGATAAACATTTAGGTTGTTTCTACTTTGTGGTTCCTATGAATAATGCTACTATGAATGTTCATCTACGTGTTTTTGTGTGGGCTGGGCACAGTGGCCCATGCCTGTAATCCCAGCACTTTGCGAGGCCAAGGCGGGAGGATCACTTGAGCCCAGGAGTTTGAGACCAACCCAGGCAACATAGTGAGACCCCATCTCTACAAAACAAATTTTTTTAAAACTAGCTGGGTGTGGTGGCATGCACATGGAGTCCCAGCTACTCAAGAATCTGAGATGGGAGGATCGTCTGAGCCTGGGAGGTTGAGGCTGCAGTGAGCCGTGATCAGACCTCTGCACCCCAGCTTGGGTAACTCAGCAAGACCCTCTCTCAAAAAATATAATACAGATTTAAAATTTAGAAAATTAGAAAGTTTAAAATATTTTTAAATACAGGTTTTTGTATGGACACCTGCTTCTATTTCTCTTGAATATATGAATGAAGTGGAATTTCTGGTTCGTATGGTAACTCTATGTTTAACCTTTTAAAGGTTAAACATTATTTTGATTTGCATTCTTCTGAAGGATAATGATGTTGAGCATTTTTTCATGCACTTACTGACCACTTCTATATCTTTGTAGAAATATGTACTCAGATCCTTTGCCTGCTCTTAATTGGGTTATCTTTTCATTATTGAGTTGTAAAAGTTTTAAACATATTTGAGATACAAATTGATTATCAGATTTTTTCTAAAAAATGCTCCCATTCTGTGCATTGTCTTTTCACTGTCTTGATGGTATCCTTCGAAGCACAAAAAAATTTAATTTTAATGAAATAACAATTTGTCTATTTTTTCTTTTGTCCTCTGCTCTCATGACATGAAGATTTACACCTATACTTTCTTCTAAGAGTTTATGGTTTTAGCTCTTACAGTTAGATCATTTTGAGTTAATTTTTTTTTCTTTTTTTCTGGAGACTGAGTCTCACTCTGTCGCCCAGGCTGGAGTGCAATGGCATGATCTCGGCTCACTGAAACCTCCAACTCCCGGTTCAAGTGATTCTCCTGCTTCAGCCTCCTGAGTAGCTGGGATTACAGGCATGCACCACCATGCCTGGCTAATTATTGTATTTTTAGTAGAGACGGGTTTCACCATGTTCGTCAGGCTGGTCTCAAACTCCTGACCTCGTCGTGATACACCCGCCTAGGCCTCCCAAAGTGCTGAGATTACAGGCGTAAGCCACTGCACCCGACCTTGAGTTAATTTTTTATGTGGTGTGAGATGAAGGTGATAGTCTAATTCATTCTTTTCCGTATGAATATCCAGTTGTCCTAGCACCGTTTGTTGAAAATACTGTTCTTTCCCCCATTGAATTATCTTAGCACCCTTGTTAAAAATTAATAGACCTTAAATATTAGGATTTATTTCTGGACTCTTAAATCTAGTCCATTGATCTCTATGTCTGTCTTTATGCCAGTACTTCACTGTCTTGCTTACTGTAGCTTTGCAGTAAGTTAAAATTGGGAAGTGTGAGTCCTCCAATTTTCTTGTTCTTTTTTGAGTCTCTTGAAGTTGCATATGAATTTTAGGACCAGCTAGCCAATTTTTGCAAAAAGGACATCTGGGATTTTGATAGGTATTGTGTTGAATCTGTAGATCAATTTGGGAGTTTTTCTATCTTAACAACATTAAGTCTTCCAACCCATAAACACAGAATGTCTTTTATTTAAGTCTTTGTCAATTTCTTTGAGCAATATTTTTAGTTTGCCGTGTGCAACTCTTACATGTGTTTTGTTATATTTATTCCGAAATATTTTATTCTTTTTGATGCTATAGTAAAGGGAATTCTTTTCTTACTTTCATTTTCAGATTATTCATTGCTAGCCTATAGGTTTTGTGTATTGATCTTGTATCCTGAAGCCTTCATGAACTCATTCATTTTTTCCAGCATTGTTGAGGTATAATTGACAAATACAAATTATATATATTTAAGGTGTATTAATTTGACGATTTGATATACATTGTGAAATGATTACTGTAATCAAGCTAATTTAACATACCTATTACCTCACATTGTTACTATGTTTTTTCTTTTTGTCTTTTTTTCTTGTTTTTTTTGGTGGGGAGAGTTTGGTGAGAGAATACTTAAGATCTACCCTCTAGCAAATTTCAAGTGTACAACACAGTATTACATGAGATCTTCAGAACATTTTCATTTCTTATAACTGAAGCTCTATACCCTTTAACCAACATCTCTCCATTTTCCCCCTTCCTTAGCTCCTGGTAATCACCATTCTACTCTCTGTTTCTATGAGTTTGACTATATTAGATTCCATATATAACTGAGAATATGTATTACTTGTCTTTCTGTGCCTGGTTTATTTCACTTAACATAATGTCCTCCGGGTTCAACCACGTTATCAAAAATGACAGAACTTCCCCTCTTATAGGCTGAATATAGTATCCCATTTTGTATATATGCCCCATTTTCTTTATCCATTCATCTCTTAATGGGCATTTAGATTGTTTCTATATCGTGGCTGTTGTGAAAATGCTGCAATAAACATGGGAGTGCAGATATTTCTTCAGGATACTGATTTCACTTATTTTGGATATATGCTTAGAGTGGAATTACTGGACCATAAGGTAGCTCTATTTTTAGTTTAGGGAGTGTCTATACTGTTTTCTATAATGGCTGTAGCAATTTACATTCCCACCACAGGGTACAAGGGTTCCCTTTTTCTCCACATCCTTGCCAACACTTGTTATCTTTTGTCTTTTTGATCATAGCCATTCTGACAGGTATGAGGTGGTATTTCATTGTAGTTTTGATTTGCATGTCCCTGATGATTAGTGATGTTGAGCACTTTTAAATCACCTGTTGGTGATTTGTATACCTTCTTTTGAGAACTGTCTATTCATTTCCTTTGCCCATTTTAAAATCAGGTTGTTTGGTTTAGACTATTGAGTTCTGTGAATTCCTTATATATTTTGTATATTGACCCCTTATCAGACATATGGTTTGCAGATATTTTCTGCCATTAAGTTGCTTTTTGATTGCTTCCTTTGCTGTGCAGAGCTTTTTAGTTTGATGCCATCCCACTTGTCTGATTTTTGCTTTTGCTGCCTGTGCTATTGGTGTCACATCCAAAAAATAATTGCCATATCAGTGTCAAGAAGCATTTTCTCTATAAATTTTCTTCTACCAGTTTTATGGTTTCAGGAACTGTGTTAAAACTTTAATCCATTTTGCATTAATTTTGGTACATGGTATTAAAAAAAGGGTTCATTTTCATTCTTCTGGATGTGAATATTCAGTCTTCCCAACAGTAATGTAATTAAAATTTAGATTGAGAAGTAGATACTTGCATATAGGGTTTTTCTGTCTTGAAGATTCTTAAAGTGTAAGTATCTCAAGTGGATGAGGTTTAGTATAATTCTCCATCCTCATCCCCACCACCCAAGGAACTTCCATCACTAATGATGACTCACCACTGCTAGGAATACTCTTACCACTCTCTGCAATTTGAAAAACCCCACCAGCTATCTCCACCTTCTCCTCAATATGACTGTTAAACCCTTCAGAACTAACAGGTTAGCAGGCAGTTTTCAAACGTATTTTGAGAGGCAGACCCTCCTTTTTCAAGTGAAATCTTAATGAAAACCACAATAAAATAAAAGCAAAGCTGCTGGGATTGAAGAGAACGATGAGAAGGTGAAGCCTCAGCCTGGCTTGTGATGATGACCTCCCCACCTGTGTTCCTAAGCAGCCTCTTGGGACCGTCTGTGGGCGTTCCGCGGTGCATGGTTTTGTAGCTTGGGGACCTCTACCTTAGGAAAGTTTTTAAGTAGCCAGCCTACTATGGAACTGAAAGAGGGAAGGAGGCCACAGGAAAATTCACCAGTCTAGCCACGATTGCAACATACCATATCTGTGATTTCACCTTCTCTTGCAAGTTTCCTTTGAGAGGTAGGGAAGTAAAGCAGTTCAATCGTAAGCTGTAGTTGCAAACCAAAGGGCAGAGTGCTTACATTTTTGATATTGTATCTGTTGGATATATCTCAGGTGCCATCAATGAAAAGGCCACACATCCTGGGTACTATGAAGACTTAGTGGAGAAGTCCATGGGGAAGTATAATCTCGCCACGGAGGAGATTGAGAGGGATTTACACCGCTCCCTTCCAGAACACCCAGCTTTTCAGAATGAAATGGGCATTGCTGCACTAAGGAGAGTCTTAACAGCTTATGCTTTTCGAAATCCCAACATAGGGTATTGCCAGGTAAATGTCACAGGTGGTTTATGCTAAAAAATAAATAAAATTTCTATTTATTTGCCAACACATAGTGGGAAGGAAGGTTTACGGTTAACAGAACTATGACTTCACCAGGCCCTCTCAACCTTGGCACTGTTGACACTCTGAACTGGTTAATTCTTTGTTGTATGGGCTGTTCTGTTCTTTGTAGGATGTTTAGTAACATCGCTGGCCCCTACCCACTAGATGCTGGTAGAAAATCCCCAGTTGTAACAACCAAAAATGTCTCTAGATATTGCCAAGTGTCTGAGAGGCAGAATCATCCTGGGTTGAGAACCACTGCACTGAGCGGAGGAACCCTTTCTGGATTCACCACTGTCTAGCTACGTGACCTGGAGAAGATCCTTCTGATCACTCTCTGCCTCAACCCTCATCCCACCCTGGAGTAAGAGAGAGCATCCTGAGTACCAGGCCTGTCACTGTGGTTCGCCACAGTGTTCCTCCTTTGCATCCTCTTAAGTAATAATGTCCTTAAATAGAGCTTTTATATGCTAGGGTTATGTCTTAATACACACTAAAATAAGTGCTTAACTTAGTATTAAGAAAGGTGCCTACATACCAACAAAAGTCATCTCTTGTACTGGTATAGATGCCAAAATTTGGGAAGCTCCAAAATAACGTGACCTTAGAATCAAAGGCTATATCGTCATAGAGGCCTTCCCTGACAATCCAGCAAAAGCTAAAAGAGGCTGAACTCCTACTTCAACACGCAAGTGCACGTGCATGCACATGTTAGTCTCCCTCTACTGCATTAGTTTACCTTTTTATAACTTTCAGTTTAAATAACCCCACACACAGACTAGTTAACCTTTTCATCTTTGTTTTATCTGACACCAGCATTTAGGACCTGCAAGATATCACCACTGTGTCCCTCATCTTCCAATACCTAGTCCAGAGCCTGTTACAAGGTAGACCCCTAAAAAACCTATCTCCACTGAACTGGCAGGGACCATCATCATGTACTAGGATCAGCAGGTTAATTCTCAAGTGGAATTTCCATGATGATATCACTTGGGAACAAAATGAGTAAGACTTACAAGAAAGAGCCTATTAAGCCAAAATACCTTTTTTGAAATTATATTGTAGAAGCCTGATGAACAGTTACTGGTTTCTAGGAGATCAAAAGCATAGGAGGTAATTGGCCTCTAATATAATGAAGTTCATATTTATCTTTTAATCTTCCTCTTTTTAATTAAGAAGACTATTAAAGTAGTTGGGTCTAGAGTGGTTATGAGGTATCTGATAATATCTTTTAATAAAGTACAGTTACTTTAGAATTTAAATCACTCTCAGTTATCACTACCATCTCTCTCCAGATGGAAATGTTGGGTGAGGACTCCAAGTCTGAAAGGTTTCATTGTTCTCTGAGGAAAGCCTGGAGCCATGTGTACCTGATTATAGAAACCATTATGGAAAGTTACAAAGGAAATGTTTACCTCACTGAATTAAGAACATTGAGAGATTTTAGCAGGTTAAAAGCTTTGTGAAATAGCCTTTGGGCAAATTTTTGGAATAGGGGTTTGCCAGTAGGAGTTCAGGGCTCTGTCTGGTGAATATTGGTGCTGAGGAAGACTCTGCACACTTACTGGTTCAAGGACTCAGGATTTTACATTTTTAAAGGGTCATAAAACAAAACTCAGAAGAATATGTGACAAGAGACTATGTATAGCCTCCAAAGCCTAAACATGTTTATCTGGCCTTTCACAGAAAAGGTTTGCCAGCCCCTGTGAGAATAACTGAGTAATTTTAATATGCTAACAGAATTTCTTATATTTTAAACTGTATTTGTTGACATCCTCTTTCACTTTTTTAGGCCATGAATATTGTCACTTCAGTGCTGCTGCTTTATGCCAAAGAGGAGGAAGCTTTCTGGCTGCTCGTGGCTTTGTGTGAGCGCATGCTCCCAGATTACTACAACACCAGAGTTGTGGGTAGGTGGAGATGCATTTAACATTTCAACCTATGTCTTGTCAAAAAGATGTTTTTAGAGAAGTACCAACCGGAACACTATTTCTGGTCACCATAAGCCAGAAGAGTTTCAGACTACTCCAGTTTTTCAAAATGGAAATGAGAGAGGTTGAATAAATATAGGTTGTGTACAAAGGAGCCCCGTGGAGTTTAAGGGACTACACACATATCACTGCTCCAGAAATTATTTTAGAAAATATTTGATGTGTGTGTCACTCTGACATGTGAGAGCTACACCAGGTATACGTACCATCAACACAAAGAGATTTGATAAGAAAATTAATAAAGAGGATGGGAACCTATGAAATACAGAGGTATTCCCAAAAAAAAAAAAAAAAAAAAGGCGCATCTGGGGTGGAAAAAATAGAATATAGAGGTTTATTGAAAACTAGGTTTCTAAGGTATTTTTCAGGACTGGTTTTATTGCAGAGCAAACACCTGTTTTGAGGATTTAAATTATTGCTGTAACTCCGTGTAATTCTGTCAAATGTCAGTGATTCATTTTAGCAGGACAAGCTTTTCATTGCTGGGGTCATACAGTATATTGTTTATGCTTCTCACTTGCGTTCTTTCTATATTTCTAAACATTTGCACATGAATTTGATTATTGAAAATATTATCAAAAATGTCCTTAAGTTGATCATGAATGTGTACAACAGGAATGCTTTTAAGTTTTAAAAAAAGTAGTTTTTTAAAAAAATGATTAATATATGGGCACCACGCATCCAGAAGTGTGATTTTTTTTTTTTTTTTTTTTTGAGACCATCTCGCTCTATCGCCCGGCTCACTGCAACCTCTTTTTTTTTTGTTCAAGCGATTCTCCTGCCTCAGTCCCTGAGTAGCTGGGACTATACAGACTCCTGCCACCATGCCTGGCTTTTTTTTTTATTTTCAGTAGAGACAGGGTTTCACCATGTTTTTTTTTTTGGCCTTGAACTCCTGACCTCAGGTGATCCACTTTTTTTTTCCTCCCAAAGTGCTGGGATTATTATTATTAATTTTTTTTTGATAAACAAAAGTTTGCCAGCTAAGCTGCTTTTTTTTTTTTTTGGACCTGTAGTCATGTGTTGATGTTCTGGCTGATGACAGACTGCATATACAACAGATGTCCCATTAGATTTTTTTTTTGTATATTTACTGTTTCATTTCTATGTTTTGTTTTTTTTTTATTTACCATTATGTTATAGTTGCCTACAGTTTTTTTTTTAGTAATGTACTATACAGGTTTGGAGCCTAGGTTTTTTTTTCTATGCCATATAGCCTAGGTGTGTAGTAAGGTTTTTTTTTCTAGGTTTGTGTGAGTACTTTCTAAGATGTTGACATGACAAATTCACCTGACAACCCATTTCTCAGAACATTTTTTTTTTGTTAAGTGATACATGACTATACATGGATGTATTTTTTTTTCCAAACCAAACATTATGTTGCCAACACAATATTTTTTTTTATGTCATGAAAACTTTATAAACTGGCCTTCTTTTTTTTTTTTATAATTGTCATGTGATTGTTCTTTTTTGGTTTTTTTTTTGGGGCAGGAAGAGCCCCGAAAAAGAAGATGCAGCCAGAACTAATCTGGTGACTGAGCTGTGTTGACACCTTTTTTTTTTAACAGTCACAGCAGAACAGTTAGCAGAAAGGTTTTTTTTTCTGTGCTAGCAGTCATTGTGAACTGGATTATTTTTTTTTTTGTTTGAATGGATTCTTGAGTTACACTGTGTTTTTTTTTTAGCTGTGCCTTTCTGTGTACCTCGCTGCCACTTTTTTTTTGGTGGACCAAGGTGTCTTTGAGGAGCTAGCACGAGACTACGTCCCACAGCTGTATGACTGCATGCAAGACCTTTTTTTTTTTTCCACCATCTCCCTGTCTTGGTTCCTCACTTTTTTTTTCAGTGTGATGCCTTTTGAGAGTGCAGTTGTGTTTTTTTTTTGTTTCTTCTATGAAGGAATTAAAGTGATATTCCAGTTGGCCCTAGCTGTGCTGGATGCAAATGTGGACAATTTTTTTTTCTGCAAGGATGATGGGGAGGCCATGACCGTTTTTTTTTTTTATCGTACTAAGCTTCACTTTGAAAACCACCTTTTTTTTTCTTCCTCTTGCTTTCTCTTCATTTCATGAGTTTTTTTTTTTTTGATGGTGGTCATAATACCCGCTTCTTCCTTTTTTTTTTGATTTATTTTCATATGCTTTTTCTTTAGAATTTTTTTTTATTTCTTTCTCTCTTTCCATCTTTAAAGAAATTTTTTTTTTTTGTTTTAAAATGTAGAACTTGCAGAAAATTTTTTTTTTATTATAATGGGAGGATTCCAGTTTCTTCTCCTTTTTTTTTCTGATGCATTCTTCTTCCAGGTATTTAGACAGTGTGACCAATAAAGACAGCACATTGCCTCCCATTCCTCATTTTTTTTTCTTGCTCAGCGATGATGTGGAACCTTACCCTTTTTTTTTTATCTTCAGACTCATCAGAACTTCCTACGAGGTAGGTCTTGTTTCCTAGCTGAGCAGAGCTTGACCATGCAGTTTTTTTTTCCGTTGCTGCCTGTTTTGTGCTGATGTAACATTTTTTTTTAGACTGGGCAAAGAACAAATATTTATTTCTCTTTTTTTTTCTTTGGGACACCCCAAATCAAGGCATTGGCATTTTTTTTTCTGGACTTTCTGCTTCCAAGATGGCACCTTGCATGCGGTGTCCTCCGGAGGGGAGGAATACCACGTCTTCATTTTTTTTTGAGAGAGAACCCATGCTCATAAGACCTTTTTTTTTTTTTTTTAATCCATTTGTGAAGGCAGAGTCTTCATGTTTTTTTTTTTGCAGGTGATTGGCAACTATCTGAGGCTGGTATCATGTGGACAGTAGGAAGAATTTACCAAGGCAGTTGTTTTTTTTTTAAAGCAGATTTATTAAAGAAAGCATGAAAATTTTTTTTTTGGATGCAATGGGCAAGTTAGCAAGAGAGGAGTTTTTTTTTAAGAGACAAAGGCTTGCTGGGGATTTTATAGTTTTTTTTTTGTGCTGTGTGCTGGAAAGGGCTTTGTGCAGTTTTTTTTTCGCCGAGGTTGTAGTGAGCTAACTTGCATTTTTTTTTTTTCCGAGGGTCTGGTGATAGCTGGGCACAGGAATTTTTTTTTTTATTTGTACAGGAGAGCTATGTGTCCTTGATTTTTTTTTAGGGTAGACTTATAGCTTATTTGTTTTGTTTTTTTTTTTTTATATATATTTATTTTGCTTTCCCTGGGTCCTTTTTTTTTAATTCTCTTTCCCTAATTAGGACTCCACACTAAATACCTCCTATGAGACCCCACTTTCCAACACTGCTGTGTTTTTTTTTAATTTTCAACATGCGTTTTAGGGAGAATAAAAACATTGAGACCATAGGCTTACCTGCTTCCTTCTACATTGTTTTTTTTTCTGGTCAGAAGTAAGTAGTTCTGTGCTAGCTTTTTTTTTTGACCTCCAGAGATGGACACTGAATGGAGCCTTTTTTTTTTGATGATTACATAGTAGCACATGGCAAGACAAGCTGTGGCTCTCCAGCGCTTTACCATTCCCATCCTGAAGCCTGATCTAGTAGCAGCTCAGTTTCAACTCTTTGTAGATTAAGGAGGGGCTGTTGAGAGTGGGCATGGGGAGGCTGACCTTCACAAATCAATTTGCTTTCTGTTCCCATGCTAAGTACTTATTTTTTTTTTGAAGTAGACAGTCTGAGGCACTTAGAATAGTTTTTTTTTCCCAGAGTAGACCAGAGTCCTGGGATTCCTCTAAAATTGCTTGGCCTGGGTGGAGGAGGATGCTTTCTTGTTTTTTTTTTCCCTGGAATCAGCCTGATCTGCTGCTCAATCTTTTTTTTTAACTAATACTCTTCTTGGGGTGAAGGAACCACAGTGCCACTTGCCCCTTAACCACCTGGTGGTTTGTGAGGTTTTTTTTTCTCGTAACACTTGATGGTTTCTTCATTTCCTGATCCTTGATTCTGTAAACTTTTATAGAAATGATCACTAATTTTTTTTTAGCGTGAGTATTCTGCTGAGCACACTGTGCTCTCTACAGATGTTTGTGATTTTGACTGGTGATTGTCAGTATTCCAGCTAGCAACAAAGTGGATAGGAGAGAAATAGTGAGTTTTTTTTTGAGATCAGAAAGCCTCTCTTAAAGTAAAAAATTTTTTTTTTTAAAAAAATTGCTATGGATATAGAAATCTTTTCAGAAATGTTTGTCCTTAACTCATAATGAGACAGACTGTTTTTTTTTTTTTTAATCTTCATTGAAACTCCATATATATTTTTTTTTTAATGTTTTGTTTTAGAATCATAAAAGCAATACATGTTTATTTTAGAAATTGTAGGGAAATAGGACGAAAAATTTTTTTTTTATCCTATAAGCATTTTACATTTCCCTTAAGTTTTTTTTTATACTTACAACATACACTTCTTTAAAAAAGGTTTTTTTTTATACTGCTTTGTCGTTTTCTAGGTATACCATTTTTTTTTTCTAATATATTAAATATTATTTGAAGGCATGATTTTTTTTTATTGTATTCTGCTTTAATGAGGTAACAAAATTTATTTACCTAGTTCCCTTTTGTTAGACACTTACTTCGATTTTTTTTTTATTTTCAGTATTATATAGCATTCTAAGATAAACTTGTACCCAAATATCACATCTCTGATTATTGTCTTAGATTTTTTTTTATGAATTTAAATTAAAAGTTTGGGTTAAAAATTTTTTTTTAAAAAAAAAAGAATGATCAAGCTATTGGCACTTTTTTTTTAATTTCCATAAAGTATGTTTCAATTTATGTTTTTTTTTTTAGATATAAAGAATGAATATTTCATCTTACTATTTTTTTTTCTATTTCCATATGCATTTAAAAAAATCATTGTTTTTTTTTCTTTGGAATAGTACTGTATGATGTAAGCAAGTTTTTTTTTATCTGTGGGTTGCTTGTCTAAAGGAATCCTCTTTTTTTTTTTGTTGAAAGAATTCTGCACCAAGGTATTGTTTTTTTTTTTGGGGTTTCTCTTCCAATTATCTGATCAATCTTTTTTTTTTTAATTCATAGTACGCCCCGCCTTTTTCTTCTTTTTTTTTTTTTTCCTTTTTGCCTTTGTTAGATGCCTAGTTTTTTTTTAGTACCAAGCGTTATCAGTACCAGCTCACATTCCTTTCCTTATTTGGAAGGAGGACTCACTTTCTTGTTCATTTTTTTTTCCCGCTTCCTTGTTCTCTCCACTTTCTTTTATTTTTTTTTCCTATCTAAAAAAATCAAATGTTTGGCCAACTTTTTTTTTTTTAGATTGTATGACCCGACCCCAGCCAATGTTTTTTTTTTACAGGGGCAGGTCCTGCATCAGGAATAAAGTTTTTTTTTCCCTTTGTTCAGATGTGCTCTCATGGCAACTGGCCAAGGAGGCACAGAAGTAAAATTCTTCTTCTCTGAGCTTTTTTTTTATTGTTTTGCTAAGAATCTTTTGTTCAAGTGTTTTTTTTTCTTAGGATTTTGAGCATTATTCCTAAAAATTTTTTTTTTTTATGTGGCAACTCAGCTTTATTCTCAACAGCTTTTTTTTTAGCTTCATGCTGAAGTCAGCACTTTGCCCCTTTTTAAACGGAAAGCAAAGAAATTGAGACAAGGCCAAGGGTTTTTTTTTATTTACATCCTCTTGGGCTGATCCCTAATGGTTTTTTTTTGGTTGCCAAGCATCCTATCGTAACAGGACAATTTTTTTTTTCCCTTCGTCTGCCTGGAAAGACAATCCTTTTTTTTTTTTTCAGTGCCTATATTACCAGGTCTTTCGGTGCTTTTTTTTTGGGTTTTTGTTTTCTCTTCTCTGCTTAAGTGTTTTTTTTTTGCTCATGTTTCCAGTGGCTCTCTAATGCCTTTTTTTTTTACTTTAAGAGAACACCACGAACTCTTGCTGATTTTTTTTTCCCTCCTAACCAGTAAATTGGTGGTTTTCAATTTTTTTTTTGCATTAAATCACTTAATTTTTTTTTTTAAGTTTTTTTTTTAAAAACAAACTCCTAGGCTCCATCCCAGGCTTTTTTTTTCTGAATCTAGGCATGAAGCCCAAGAGTATGTTTTTTTTTTAAAATTTCCCAGGTGATTCCAAATGTCCGGTTTTTTTTTTGATTCACTGCACTGGCAGAATGGGGCTAATCTTTTTTTTTGATAAGAATCTGGTTTGGGCTCAGGCATGACACCTGAATGTTCTCAGGTACACAATGCATTTCTTTCTGTTTTTTTTTTTAATTAGCTGTGACAATTGAAACATAGGAAAGTTTTTTTTTAAGCACATTCATCTTTTGAGATTTAGTTAGGTTTTTTTTTGGTTGCTAGAAATCAGTCTGATATTCATAAGTTCACTTCATAAATACCTCGTGGGGAAAATCTCACTCATTTTTTTTTTTCCTAAGCCTCTGTTGAAAGGAATTGTGCAGGTTTTTTTTTACTCCAGTTTTCTTCTGCGTAGACCCTTGTGTTTTTTTTTGCACTTTGGGCAGAGTAATATAGAAGTAAAATTTTTTTTTCCAATCTTTAAGTTTGATTCATAGACTGAGATTTTTTTTTTGGAAGGCACAAGAGGACGTTAATAGGCCTTTTTTTTTTTACACAGCCGCCACAGAGCCGCTTCATGTTCGTTTTTTTTTAGCCCAGTGTGTTTAGTCTGAAAAGTGTTAATTTTTTTTTGGATGTGGCTAATAAAACAGAAGGCACAATCTGTGAAATGAATAGGCATTTGTGAAAGCTTAGAGTAATGTTTTTTTTTTTTATTAATGATTACTATAATAGCTATTACTCTTTTTTTTTCTGCCATGTGTGGGGCAAGGTGCTGGGTGCCTTGTAGGCAGTTCTGCCATGTAAATGTTAACGCAGTTCAATTTTTTTTTGTAAGTTAAGAGAGGTTGAGCTAGTTTTTCCTTTTTTTTTAGCTAGAAAGCAGCAGCCAGTATCCAAGTAATTTTTTTTTTGCATTAAAGTCAGGACCAAGGGAGTTTATCTGGATTAGAAGAGAGATGGAATTACGGATGCACCGATGGTTTTTTTTTTAACTGGTCCAGTGAAGCTGGTTAGTAGGGAGTTTTTTTTTCACGAATTGACTTGGAAGGCATCCAACCACCTTTTTTTTTTGAAGAGCATTCTTCTTGAAGTACGTTATCTTTTTTTTTTGTGCAACACATTGGAGGAGGGGGAGAGCTGATTTTTTTTTCAAGCAAAAAAGATAATGTGGTTATATATGGTTTTTTTTTAAGAGATGCAAGAAACAGCGTTTGTCTATTCTTTTTTTTTCAAAATTTTTTTTTTTTTTTTTTAATTTGAGTTTTTTTTTGCCTCTGTCACCCAGGCTGGAGTGCAGTGGCTTTTTTTTTGCTCACTGCAGCCTCCACCTCCCATGTTCATTTTTTTTTTATGCCTCAGCCTCCCAAGTAGCTGAAACTACTTTTTTTTTCCACCACATCTGGCTAATTTTTTGGTATTTT